AACGATAATTAATATATACATATCATAATAGTTATAGCAGGATTAAGAATATAAGTACATTTAATAGTTTAGATAATATGTTTTTGTCAGTCAGTCTAAAACAACTATCTCTACTCGGTCCCGTTCAATACATACAAAATGCACTAGCACAAGAAGTTGGAACTATACCGTTCCCATAATCAAGATAAATTACATATAATCTTGTGCTACAATCGTACCGATGGCATGTCCAATTTCCATCCTAGATTGTGAACAAAAACTTTATTCTTATAAGAACCGATGATTTAATCCTCTGTGTATAAGCTAAAACTCTACACACTAAATCATCTACTACATAAGTAAATAGACACCATAAACTAATATATGATCTATTAAAATTGAGCAAATATTTATTCTATAATAAATATTATTTCTTAACATATGGTTAATAGTATATATCCCAACAGCTGCAATTTTAGAAATTTGAAATCTTTTTTTTTTGCGGACATAAGTTTATATAAAAAAAATTATCTTTGTTATTCTTCAGATCATCGTTTAATGAATAGCAGCGACTAAAATGTTGGTGAAAATTGTGAAGAAGAAAGACGGAGAAAAAAAATCATGGGTGTAAAAGGAATAACAATAGTTTATTGTCACAACTCAAAAATCTTAATAGGTCATTAACTAAGGCACCTATGATTTCTCCGTTAGTAAACCCCTCTCTTTATTAATTATTAAGACTAGTGAGAAGTGGAAATATGAGAAAAGTATGATAAAATAATAAAGTCAGAAATTTGAGTCATAAAAACTAAGACAATTCCAAGAATTGATAACATTTATACAAGAGCGACTAAGATCAAAAAAAATTATGAGTCCAAACGCTACTCTGTCTAAAATAGAAAACACATATAATCTAAAATAGAGCTAGAATATAAAGCCGCTTGATGTGTCATAGTTTATTAAATTTTCCACTATTAAAGTTGAATGAGGCATTCTAATTTTCAGTCATTCCAGAAAAATGTTACTGTGAGTCACATTTTAACTGTAAAATGTGCCTCAGAGTAACGAATTATAAAACGTTACTGATAATAACGTTTTATGTCTATTTACTTTGTCAGATTTTTGTCTTCTGTTATTGATTTTTTTGAATAAAATACAACCTAAAACGTTACTGAGAACTATGTTTATACTAATTTTGTAAAATTTCAAAAAATGTACTATTTTGGTGAATTGATTTTAATAATGACTTACTTTGATAAAAAATTCCTTAAAATATATAAACTTTGTGTGTTCTTAAGTATGTTTATGTGGATAAGATATGTTTTTTGTTGTGAATGTACATGAAAAAAGGGTTTCGAGAGCAAATAAGTAAATTTTGTGAAAAATGAGTTAAGTACACCTTGGACAGTGCAAGCCATAAGAGTCCGGAACCTAAATAAGCCACAGAAAGATAAAAGTGATCAAAATAAGCCACTATTCTAGTAAGTAACTAAAATAGGCCTAGCATCCCCGCTTAAGGTCCAAGAGGCATTGAACTACTATTAGGAAGGGTTTAGACTGAAATAAACTCCTAATAGGCCCACCTAGACACCAAGCCAAATAATTTGGACTAGCATTTAGCACATAGAGTCTCATATTAGCCTCTAGATTTTATTAGCATGCTTGCAAACACATATAATTGTGAAAAAGTCTCATGCTAGGCGTGTGGCATACAACATATTATAGCAATAATTATTTTTGGAACATTAGATACAGGAAGCAATTATACAAGTGGCAGAAAGCAATCATGGAGGCAGGAAATGTCTTTTAGAGCAGTGAAGATCAGATTATTAAGCAACAGTCAATTCATTAGATGCATAAATAACTAAACGAGAAAAAAAAGATCAATTAGGGCAGACTAAATTTTAAGCAATTAGGATTTTAACATGCTGTAAAATTAATTTATTTTTTAAGTGACAAACCAGTTCATTACGATGCAACAAATTGATTATTTTGGACAACTTTAAATGACAGATAAATTTAATGTCACAGTTAACATGCAGAAGAAGACATTAATTTATTTTAGATAGAAATTACTTATTTTAAGTAGAGATTATTCATAAAAGACAAAAAAAAAATACTAAAAATTTATTAGAAGCCTATGAAAAGCTAACTAAGTGATTAACATGCTGAAATTTTATTAACAACCTAAAATATTTTTATTAGCTGACAGGCTTAAATTACTAAAATATGCAGAAATTATTTAAACTAATTAGTTAACATCAATGATTTTATTGTTTTAATCCTATAGGCATGATTTCTAGATGGTTTGGATTTATTCACATAAAGCAACCATTACAACTAATTGGTAAACTCATTAATTCACATACCAAATAAAATATCTGAATGCCTATGCACATGATTTCTAAATAAAGAACACAACTTATAGACATGGTTTCTATACATGAATAACACATTAATAAACATTTAAATCCTATAGGCATGCATTTCTAAGTAATCTGAATTTATTAACAACCAATCAGCCATTACAATCTAATTAATTGACCTATTGAATTAAGATTACTTTCTAGACAGATTGCAGATTTAATTTTCTAAACATGCTGGCAGTTGATCAAGATTAATTTGCTAACTATTGACATACTAAATTTGTTAGGCACATTTTGGTAAATTCTTATGGGCCCATTTTATTAACATGCTGAGGTGAATAAAGTCTAATCCAAATAAAGCAAATATTCAAATTATAAGACAATTAATACATAATGGTTGATTTTAACAATAAGGCAAAGTTGCATGAGCGAAGGGTTGAAATTAGGTCGATTGCTAAGTGATTCCGACATGCCGCACATACCAAAAAATAAACTACGCTAAAAGGAAAAGGAACAATTAGCACGTATATCCCCCTCCCCCTTGGACGATTCCCCAAGTTATCATATATAGAGAGAGTTAGAGTTATACAAAATATTACAAGTTCAAAGAATAAATAAACAGTATTTCCAGCATTAAGATAAACTTGAACATAAGAATCTTGTCCGAAAATCTCTTTGAGGCGACTCTTGAACCTTTTAAGTTCAAAACCCTGTTAAAGTACAACGAAAAATACGAGCAAGTAACACCACATAATAGATGATAGCAAGATGATAAATAATTATATAGTACGCACATTTAATTATTTCATGTACACAAGTAACATATGGCATGTAAGAACTTAACAAGTTGTGGAGAATATATAATCACACAAAGCAAGAAAGGATAAGAAGACTGACTCGGAGGCTTCCCGCCATTCAAACATACAACAACAATTGAAACAATTCAAAACGGAAATTAAACTAATAGAGAAACAACTAACCGGTTAAGCAGAATATATGTTTAACAGCAATGAAGACAAACTTGATCCACTACTAGACCCGAACACAGCAAAATCGAATAAAGATAGCTCTTTTAAATGTTTATCGAAATCTTAATTCTTTTAAGAGTAGAGAGTTTTTTTTTTTCTTAGAATATGTCAACGTGAGTCCGTAATAATGAGACTAAGGGCCACTTTATATAGTAGCAAAAAAGGCACATAATACAAGGAAAGAAATAATTTTAGGAGTCAATTGAAAAAAGTTTTCCTTAAACAAAGGGAGTACACAATCCCTTTCTTTTTCACTACAGAATAATATTCTTACCATAAATAACCCACAAAATCTGCCTAACTTTCACTAAGGCAAGAAAGTCGATTAGTAAAATTCATTTTAGATGACACATTACAAACAAAAGTTAATATTTAAGGGAAAGGAATAACATACAGCTTAAATCAATATTCAATATTCTCATACACTACACGATCTTACCAAGTTAATTATTAAGAGAACAAGAATCAATAAGCAACAATTATGGAATTTCTTTTTATTTTTTCCTTAATACAGAAAAGGTAAAGTCAACAGAATATAACTACAATATAACATGATTCATATCAACTTTAAATACGGCAGATATGATCAATCAACCCAAAAGTGAATTAGTAAAGCAAAGTTTACCTTACCAAGAGCCACAAAACATGTCCGGACCCATTAATCAAATACCATATCATTACAAAGGAATTACCATTAAGAAGGGAGATAATTAAGGTCCAAAATTATAATTATTCTACCATTTTCAGCAAATCACGAATCCATTCAATGGACAGCCACAAGGTGATAACAATGAAAATACAAATTAACACATTAACTATCCGTTTTAGCGGAGGACCAAAGTTATTACCATAGATACAATGGGCATCACAATCGGTTAAGGAATGGAATTTTATAAACAAACAGTGATTTAGGAAATCCAAGTTAATACAAATCAGTAAGCATTAAGGAAGTTCAAATGTTTTAACATGATCTCAAGAGTAAAGCATGAACTTGGAGAACAAATCAGCCCACATATATATTAAGAATTCGAAATCTAAAACGAAAAGGTGCACCCATCTCACATTTTACAATTTTCATAGTGACATGCTTAAAATTTGGTCTCAAAAGTAAAGGAATTTGTACCTGGGACGAATCTATTAAGATCCGTCTTAAACAAAACCAAAATATGTCAAAGTGGTTGCCGTTTTTTTGTCGGAGACGTGGGTGACTGGTGGCGTGGAGCAGCGATGGTTGCTGCCCAGTTGCTTTCGCGGCTACTGGCTGTTGTTTGTACTGGCCGAAGCGGCTGGCGCTGCTGCTGTTGGAGCTGGTGTCATCTGGCACTCGCCAGCTGCTGGCCGGAGCGAGCTTCGCCGGAGCAGGTAAGAGAGAAGAGAGAGGGGGTGGCGGGTCTGCTTGGAGAGGAGAGGAAGAGATGAATAATGTTTTAGGGTTTGGAGTCTTTAGATATTAAAATAGGAAGGTTAAGGAGAATTGATCTGAACCGTAGGATTAGTTTAAATGAGCGGCTAGGATTTAACTTAAAGATGGACGGATGAGATGGGAGTTGTAATGGCCAAAATTGCAAATAAGATTGGACTAGGATTGAAATGCAAATGTGGTTATTATTGAAATAAAATTAGAATTGGTGGCTAGAGTTGAAAGGAATTAGAATAAAATCGACTAAAATTTAAATGATTTTGAGGGATTTGAAGGAATGCTATCCAATTGAAATACTACAAAATACTATAATTAAAATTACTTAAATTTTAAAAACATTTGAATTATTTAGAGTTATACTAATAATTTTTATAAAGTATGCATACTAAATATATAATTTTTTAGACAAAATTGATTAAAATTTTAAATTTGACATATTTTTAAAAATACGTATTTAATCGAATAGCATTTCCAAAATTGCTAAAGGTCGGTCAAAATTGGGTGTCAACATGGACAATGTGGGAACTCCTTTTCTTCTTTTAAAATTTACATTTATACGTTCCTAGAATTTCATCTTTGGAGTCATTCGGCGAAATAAGTCGGGCTTCGCCGACTTGATCGGCGACACGCTGAATTCTCCTTTCCATCGCCTTCTTGGCTTAGCCTTTCACCAGTTCTCTTCTGTGACTTTAGGCAATCAAAATTGTCATCGTCGATCCATTCGACGCTTCGCCAAAACACCAATCTTTTCGCCGAGTTGGTCTTATCCATGGATTGGCATCCTGGAACTTTTGGCGAGCTGAAGGTCCACTTGGCGACTCATAGAGTGGCTTTGGCGAGTACTAGCCTTATTTTTCTTCAGCTTTTTTGCTCTTTTGCCTTCCTTACTGCAAATTAGCATTTTAACATCAGTTTAGAGCATAACATAGGCATTGAGGACACTAAAACTTTGAATATTAAACCCTAAATGAATCGAAATCCACGAGTCATCAGTTATTTGTTATGATAATTATGCTAACTTGGGAACCAACTTCCACTTGTGTTTGGTTTATACTAAATGCAGTACAATATTGAGAAGAACTCTTTGGGATGATCTTATATCTCAAGAGAGTATTCTAAAGCATAAAACCAGAGAATCCATGTGTTATCCCTATGTTGAATAAGGTGCCTCATTCAAGCTATTTACAAGGCTTTCACTATGAAATAGTGATGGACATTAAGGACTAAAAATTCATTACGGAGTAAGTTTTTTACGGCCAAATATTGTTTAAGAATCCACCATTTTATTAAGAGATGGTACTCAGAAGATTCTCACTACTCTTGAAATGTCATGTGCAAAGTCAAAAGCAAAGTGTATCAATATATCCTTTGGAAGATTGGTAGAGGAGATGCGTTAATGTGGCAAGATAACTGGATATGATTTGGATCTCTCTGGCAATTTTTACCTGATGTCAAGAAACCTAGAGAGCATAAAATATTAGAATTATAGCCAATGGCAATGGGGAGGATGAGACATCTTCCTACCTTCCCAAGTGGTAGATTACATCCATGTATTCAACTAAACTTGAACTTGTCAATGGATGAGAAACATGTATTTATGGACTCCAGAACAAAATGAAATATTTACAGTGACCTTAGCTTGACATATCACAAGGCAAAAGAAGACTAGAAATTGGTTTGATGCTAAGGCCTGACATAAAAAATGATGAATTTCATTTTGTGGGGAGTACTAAGAGACAAAATTTCTACAGAAGGTAGACTCTCAAAAATGGAAATAGTTAAGATGTTGTTGCAGAACACCTCAAGATAGAGGAGGATATTGACCATTTTACTTGCTAATAAGAAGATCTGGTCAACCTTGTAAGGCTCAGTGAGCATTTTCTTCTCTAATATTTCTTTCAGACTTTTGATCAAATTTTAATGGATATGAAAATTCAATAGATCGACCAGTCTTTGATATGCTCATAAAATGTCTACCATCAATTACTATATATGTGGGAACTCTGAAAGACCAAATGTGAAGCTAAATATGAAAAGGAGTTCTACAATATTATTTCTAGCATGGATTTTAAAACGTCAGTTTAAATTGATTAAAGCCAATTTAGATTGAGAATGTCTATTGCTAATTGTCTGATGAGAAGTAAAATCAACACCGTACCAAATATCTAGTACTCTTTGAACCTTGGACAAGGAACCAACAACTAAGTTGAGGCAAACACTATGTTGTATAGAGTTAAATGATGTATAAGAAATGTACATGAGTTTATTTTAGTAGAAAGTGATTCCAAATTGCTGATGGATTGTGTGAATGACATGAGCTTTACTCCCTGGAGAATACATGAGTATGAAGTGATTAGGAGCTTAAGGATCACATGGAAATTCTTGGTTACATATTAAATCACTGCTATGGAGAAGCAAATAAGGTTGCTGATCTATTAGCCTGGCAATATCATTTATGAAGATTTTGCTAAGCTAGCTACTTATCGAAGTGAAGGGTATAATGACCCTGGACAGATGCGGATGACAAATTTCAGAACCTGATAAAAGAAGAAGAAATAATTAATCTAGGATCCCTCGTAAAGGACCATTTGTATGTATTGTCATTAATTAATCGTAAGCCATCTTTTGCATTTACTTTATCTCAATTACGATATTCTGATATCCTCATATTTGAGCAAGGAGTAATTCACTGCTTGTAACCTCCCTCATATCATCTTATAATTTTTTGTTGGAAGATGAATAAAATGTAAGTTTTTGAAAAAAAAAGAAGTTATAACGTGAATTTTTTTTTGGATAATACATGGGGTATATTTAGGCCCATTTGTTTGTAATTAATAAAGGTCTGAATAATCATTCAGATCCAGCCCATTAAGTACGTTTGATTTTTAGAATTTTGAATCTTAATAATTCAGATTCAGCTCATTAAATCTTTTTGTTTCTTATTTTTAAAAATAGTCTCTTAATGGATCTGAAAAGATCTGAACGAATCAAATTTTTAGGAGAGTCTTAACAACATTGAGACTTATTTAATATGCTTTAAAATAATAACTCGTTGCTTCTCTCTCTCTTTGTGCGACTTCCCTCTCTCTGCACATATTTTCTTCCTCTCTTTTCTTAGCCATACACCATTTTTTCCCTCTTGAATTGATAAATTTTCATTGTCTTTACAAGTATTTTTTATATTTATAAGTTTTTTTTGGTGTATTAATGTTTGTCAAGAACTCTTATTGCAATAATATTTTTGAGTATATTGATGTTTATCAAGAACTCAAGGATTCTGCGTAAAAAAAATATTAGTCATGATTAAAACAACTATGTATACATATTTGAGGTCTCTTATTAAAATTTTATTTAAGCCCACTAATTTTATTAAAACTCTTTGATCATCAAACCCGCTTGTGAAATTGCACTAAATATATTATTAGTGTTGAACTATGTATATACTTGAAGTCTTTTATTTAAAATTTTATTTTAAGTCACTAATTTTATTGAGACTCTTGTTGTTCATCATGTATTCCTAAGATATTTAGAAAAAAACTTTGAAGAATTTGGTAAGAAACAACCAAGTTTAAAGTATTTTCAAAACTAGAAAATTAAAAACAGTAGAGAAAATAGAATCAGAAACAGATTAGAAACGCAATATACAAAATATTTTTTCTCAAAGAAGAAAATTGAGCTCACTAAATGCACAGTGTTCCCTTAAGAAAATTATTCCCTTCAAGTACCCGAGGTTAATGGAATATATCCTCCCAGGATAGAACGATCTTACTTACCGGTGTATCTGTACCTATAACCATGGTGTCAACGAACCACTCAACAGCAGTAAAGTACGCTTAGAATACTAGATTTAGTAGTAGTAGAAGAAGAAGTCCAGAAAATTGGTTGTTTTAAAATGAGAGGAAATCCCCTCTATTTATAGACAATAAATCGTAGTGTGAACAGATGCTTATTGTGCCTTATCGAAAAGGCGACAACCCTTTGGAAAGTTACAACTCTTCGAAAAGGTCACACCTTTCATAAATATCACAACTTTTCATAAGAGTCACAACTCTTCATAAAAGTTGCAAGTTTTCATTAAAGTCACAACTCTTCATATTTCATTCACACCTTCACCTCTTTCATGGTTGGAGACCAAGTTATGTATCTTCTATATCTATTACTATAGATATAAATATAATTATGGAATTGAAGATCTAGTTGGTGACAAAAATGATTGATGTCCTAGTAATTCTCCATTTCAATCTTCGGTTTTGACGGATTTTTTTTTAATCATCTCAATTGAAAATTGATGAAAAGATAAGTACTACTTTAGAGGTATTGATTAAAAACAAATAGTGCACCACCTTAATATGAAGAATATAAGAAAAAGACTTAATGACCAAAAGTCCCCGCAACCTATAGCCGGATTTCCAACTACACACTCATACTTTACGGGGGTCCTATTACCCCCCCCCCCCC